TCTTTTGCTAATGTAACTAGAACATACTTGTGGCTACCTGGAAGATCAGGAACATAAAGCTTCTTCATTAGTATCCAGAAGTACGATACCATAATAACCTACTCCAAAAAATGCAGGCAGGATGAGGAAAAAATCAGCAACAAGCAGAACAACCAAATAATTGGTTGCTAACTGAAAATCAGTAGCTCATTCCTCATTTACTGCAAAGAGCCCAATGACTTCAATAGCTATTAGCTTAAGAGGCCAGCTGTGGATATTACCATGGCCTGGGAGCCATCGAGATGTGCACCACGATCCCAGACTCACTAAAAGAGATATTGCAAATGGAAGCTCTCAGAAGATGTTGATTGCAGAGGAAGAGAATGTTATCACATAAACCAAAGGAAAACGGAAAATTCAAAGATGTGCCTGTATTTGTTTGAAAAGAAAGTCAGTCATAGATGCCTTACAGAAACAGGAATTATGAACATAATCTTGACTATGTAATTAAATAGCCTGTTAAAATTATATTTTCCTCTTGCCTTAATTTTCCATCAGATTAAAATTTCCCACCAAAGATCCTCAGACTTATAGGGCTTTGATTCTGGCAATGCATTGCAATTCTGGCAGGTAGCAGTACTACTGCAGAATTCTTTTCTTTTTATCCCCCAGCCCTTTGGTCTCTTCTTCATACATTTATGATCTTACAGTATTTTTTCTCCTCTAGTCACGGATCATATGTAAACAACTAGAATTATTTTTGGAGTACAGCAGCATAACACACTCTATTTCTGTTTCTATCAAGAGATCACATTCTTGCAGATTCTTACTTTTTTTCAGTTATTAGGTTTGGGCAAACATTTGTCTGTCAAAAGGATACATTTATTAGGTATTTTATTTTATGCTTCCGATAAACTGTCAAGATCCCTAAATATGGCCAAATAAAACTAATAAAAATATTAAATTTTTTTTTTAATTAGATTACATTCCTACAGTTGACACACTTTGCTGACTTTTCAAAAACATTTACCCAGTGATAATATACTCAGTACTATGTATATTGCAAACCCATCTCCAAAATCTCAAAGACAAGTTTACCAAAGCACTTACAAACATAGAAGACATGCTAAATTGCTTTTCTGAATCTTAAAAGGTTGAAGTATGCCCTTAATGATTTGTCAACTCCAAGCCTATGTAAATGAAAGGGTATCACATCTGCAGCATTTACATCTTCTTTTTTTTCCTGTGAAACTTAGTAGAACTGATTCTCGATCTAAGCTTTGAAACACTTATTCACCAATATTTTTAATTGCAGCTAGTAACTTGTAACATGCTTGTTTTCTCTGAATGTTCATTTTTAATGTTACTGTCACCATTTTAAATGCCCAGTTCACATACATCCTATGTTAGACTTACTAGAACCAAATCTAAAAATGCCTTTATGCATGTGCCCATGCTTGATTGATTTCAACTTTCACTCATATATTCTCTGCTATATATGTCTTTTAAACATGGTTTTATTACTGAATCAGCAAATGCGCATTTTAAAACAAAAAAAATCTACAGAAGATCTGAGTTAAATGAAATTTCTGAATGTGTTTGCCCCCCCGAAATAGCCCTCCTGTAAAATTTTGTAACTTGGAGACATCATTCCCTTTTGAGTGACTTTTATAAAGAAAGCATTCTGAAATAAAAAAAAAAAAAACACCACCAAAACATCCTGGCAAATATCTGTGCATTTTGCTACTTACCACTCAGTTGGTAAGTCTGATTGTTTTGACAGCTTTTTAACCTGAGTTGCTGATTCTAAGACTCCTCTGTCCTTCCTGTCCCAAATTCTGCCACAGAATCTAACATTACTGAATGTCAAAACCTTACTCAAAGCCCATCTACTTAGTCACAGTTTTTGCCTTAAAGAATATAATAACCGTAAGACATTCTACATCATTAACACACTAATGGATATACACATTAACTGTGTTTTTCATACACTGGAAAAGCATGAAAAAAGATATGCTAGAAATACTCTGAATTAATTCTATCAATATTTGCCTCCTTATTTGTTACAGATATATAATGTGCGAGTATTTTATGGAATCTCTAAACTATCCATTGTATTTTTGCATTTTGCATTCCCTCTTTTTCAGGCAAATCTGTTCATTCTAGCTGGTAACCTACTTTATTTCTTTGCACCAATTTGCCACCACAGTCATGTAGTCAAAAGGGTAAGAAAAAGGCCTACCATTGTTCCTTCGGATGCCCACGTTGCTTGTGGTGCTCCCTCTAAACTAAAAATTATTGAGGAACGTGTATGATGAGAAAGAGAGCACACAGCTGCAGATAAACTCTGATCTTTTGGAGGTACTTCTCCTCACAGCATCTACAGAAGCTTCTTCGTGCTTAGCATCCATTTGTGACTGGCTTTAACATCCTCACATTATGGTGCTCTCAATTTTTATAACTTTATTTTTTAGCCATATGATTAATTTCCTTAAAAGCTACAGATTTGAAAGCTTTCTGTGAACATTCCTCATTAGAGAGAAGTGCAGATTTTACTGTGTCCTACGCAAGCTAATGAAGACACTGTTAATAATAGCAAGTGATGCCTAGCATAAACTACAAAAATAGCATATTTTAAACTGCTGCAGACTGTCTACAATCACGTAACAGTCCTTGGCAATCTATCCCTCTTTATCACAGTACCTGCACAACACGCTGAACTGTAAGGTATGCACTGCAGCCCCAGCAGTACACAGGGTCAGGAAAGAGCCAAGTGCTTTCTTGAATGGGAAAAGACTGAAGCATAGGAATGTTTTACTGCAGTACGGCCTGTTATCACATTCTTTTGATCTAGATCACCTCAATCTACAATTAAATTCGTGTACTTCTCTGAACTAGCTCTCATCATGGACCAGCAAACATAAAGCAGTTCAGAGGAAGTCCTAGCATCAACAGGGTGACACTGGAAGTCCACTAGAAACTTCCTGAGCACTTCAGACAGCATACCAGCTACAGGATGTTAGCTGCTGCCTAAAAGAGCTTCTGCCCAGTTTATATCTGTGCTGAACAATAGAAATGTGCCTGGTTTTAAAAGAGCCACCTGGCAGCTGGCTACTCATCCTTTCTAGCCTGGGAATGTAAAGCAGACCCTAATTCTTGCTCATTTGTGTTCATAGGACATACGTTGCCCTTTTTATCCTGTTTATAGCACCTTTGGTTAGAATTATATGTCTTGAGCACACCTAGCAGGAAATGTTTCCCAGCAGTCCAACCAAACAGAACAACCCAAAGAACATCTTGCACCCAGCCAGAAGCCCACATTAACTTTTGTGACAAAATGACTTTTTTTCCTGAAAACCTAAAGAAAGTTCCTGATTTGCTGCTTACATATAAAATTTGTCAGGAGGAACTTCCCACTAAAAGTTTCAGTTCATGTTCTATATATTATACATTGGTCAAGTGTGATTAAAAGCTTTCAGCTGCAGTTTCCATGTACAAAAGACATTCCACTTACTGAAATACCGAGATTCTATTTCTTCCATAAAGCAAAAGTTCCGAACATTTCCAGTGGACCAAACATAAATAAGATGCTCCCTTGAAGGAGCACTGGTAACCACAAAAGTCATAAAAAGCAATTTGCCTTATCATTTGCTTGCTGCAGCCATTTACTGGTGCATTCCATTACTTGTTCATACCTATTCAAAGGGCAGGACCAGATCTATGTATCTCAATGAGTTCTTACGGAAATTATCAGTATTCTTGATTTTAATAATTTTATCTCTCATTTTTACCATAAAAAATTTCAGTCAAGAGTCTGCTTGCTTGTCACCATGCTACAAGCTTCTGGCAGCACGTAGTCAGTTTAATGACAGTCTTGGTTCTATTCCAGCAGATTATTTAAAAGAAAAATGTCCTGATGAAAAAATCAGCTGTGTTTAAATAGCTACGTAGCTCAACCAGACAATTTGAGGGCTTTGGCTGTTTTTTCCTCTTACAGACCCTTATCAGGCCAATATACACATACACACGGACAGTATTCAATGGAGGGCTTAGCAGTGTGTTTGTGCTTAAGTTTCATGATCTGCTGAACACATTACAGTAGGTGCATTAGAGAGAATGCATTATTTTGTTGCTCTATGCTTCCATAGCCAGGCTTATTCAAGGGACTACGGAGCTTAGCTTAACACTAGTCACCTAAGGTATGTCTTGATAATGTATTTTAAATACGAGTACTTAGAACTTAAACAAGGATATGTATATACTTTAATACTTGCCAGCAACTTACTGCAAAAGCAGTAAGGTGGCTGATAAACTGCCAATTATCCTTCTTCCATGTGCTACATATTTTTGGAGATCCTAACAACAGTGCTGGAGAAAGGACATCAAATGATGCTTAGAAATGTGATACACATTTTCATTTCACACTCCATCAGTTTTTACAACTAGAGCTCCATGAAATGTATGAGAATACTTGGCAAACAGTCATATCTACTGAGGTGTAAAATAAGGATCAGATCTCTTTTTAAAAGAGTTTCATTTTCTTTACATGACTAAATCAGATGTTGACCTTTTTCCAAAATATATTGTAAATATTCCATACCTCTACCCATCAATTAATTTTGAATCTCTGAATTGTGTTTTGACCTGTTTTAATAGACATGTAATCAATACACATTTTTTAAAAACAGTTAGGTAAAGAAAAGAAAACTGATTCATCCTTCCTCTAAACTGAAATACATTGAGTTACTGATGTTAAATCTTTTCAATTCTAGTAAGTTCTTTCCCCATCTTGCACCTTGAAAGAAGAAACAAGTGTATTATCACCTTTATAGTCAGCAAAGCTATGGACATCAGTAAAAACATATTTTGAATTCAAATTTCAATCTGTCTTAAAAGACTAAAGCTTCATGCATATATAAATGGGAACTATAAAATGATAACAGATACATAGCATGGAATCATGTTGCTTGAACAGCTGTTGATTTACCAGTGTAGCAAAGCAGAAAATGTCTTTTTCTCACCTCTCTTAAACCAGAAACTTCTCCTTTTGCTAATGGTCTGGTGATGGATGCAGTGTGAACTCTGGCATCTGACACTGGTTGCCCCTTCATAAAATGTTTTCCAGCTTCATAAATATTCACTTCTACCATCTTACCCATCAACAGAGGATCCTTTGGCACAAGGACCTTTCAAATAAAGATAAAGACATAATTACTAAATACCACAAGGAACATCAGAGTCTCCAGTTTCCACTCAGAAAACAGATGATAAACATCAGAGAAAATTCTAAAACTTTAAAATATTAGTCATCGGCATACACTATAGACCCTGCCACATTGACCAATAAGATCTCCAGCTTGCATTCTTCAAGAGCTTTGCAGTGTTAGCTCAGCATTTTTCAACTCCAACTGTGAGTCCTGTTTTTTGATTGATGAGAAAGTTGGGCCTCAACTGCAGTTTTCGAATCCAGACCCAAACAGTTCCCAAGGGTACTCATAGTACACAGTTCTAATAGCCTGTAAAGCTTCCTGTTTTCATGTCCATGCCGTAACACTTCTTTAAAAAATGTTTTTGAGTCTGTAAATGCTTCTGGACAGAAATTATGCCCTTGTTTCTCTTTGCACAAGCCCTTGTTTCTCTTCGCACAAGCCTTTATTTTGACTGTGCAGAACCTTTGCAGCTGAGATGCATGACTGACAATGAATGCCTGTAAAAATGGACGAGTGCGTTTCTTGGGTCAGCAACTAATGCCATCCTTTTCTGAATTTGCACAATCATGATATCAGAAAGTCCCATTTCATAAAAAAAGCAGCACACAACAGATATTCCTAGCTCATGTGTCTTACAAAAGAAAGAGCCCAACATAATTGAGCGATATTTTTTGCTGGAAGAATAAAGGGAGTAAAAAAGGCTTTAAAAAGGTTCTAAAATAGACAAGCAGTTAAAAAAGAAAAGTGGAGTAATTTCTTGGTGAAATTATTTTTTATTTCTTGGTGAAATATTTTACAGTGTTTACAGTGAAAAATTGAATCATGGGAATTTATTTAATCACATGTACTTGAAGCTCATCCACACACAGAATCTCAGAGTGGGTCAGGTTGGAAGGGACCACACTGGGTCATCTGATCCAACTTCCCTGCTCAAGCAGGGTCATCCTAGAGCACACTGCACAGGACATTTCTGGAATATCTCCAGTGAGGGAGACTCCACAACCTCTCTGGACAATCTGTTCCAGTGCACAGCCACCCACACAGTAAAAAAGTTCTTCCTCGTGTTCAGGTGGAACTTCCCGTGCATCAGTTTCTACCTATTGCCTCTTGTCCTATTGCTTGGCACCACTGAGAAGAGCCTAGTTCTGCCTTCTTGGCACCCTCCCTTCAGATACTCATATACACTGATGAGGGGTCCTCTCAGTTGTCTCTTCTCGAGGCTGAACAGGTCCAACTCCCTCAGCCTTTCCTCATAAGAGAGATGCTCCAGTCCCTTAATCATCTTTGTCATTGTCCACTGTACCCAGTCCAGGAGCTCCCTTTCTCACTTGTACTGTGGAGCTCAGAACTGGACACAGCACTCCAGATGTGGCCTCTCTAGAGCTGAGAAGAGTTTTTCAAAGATCACATTAATATATCTTGATTCTTTGATGCTGAAACTGAAGTTCCTTAAAATTACTTGATTTTTAGACTGCCTGTGCAGACGATTTTCAGAGAAAAATTCTGTGCCAACCACATCTGGAGAGCATTTTGTTGCCAGGCAATGCCTCTCCATTTTCACCTATCACAATTGTTGATTGTTCTACTTGGAGGAAATCACCACCAGTAGTTTCCCAAGCATCTTTTTCCCTAAAGGCTCAAGGTGTTCATGACTGTAAGTGTTTCCAGATCGTAGGATTCTGATGAACTTCCTAAGCATCTTACAAGAAAAGCAGACATCTTTGCCTTTCAGAGATGGGCAAGCTGAGACTAAACAAACACAAAGTCAGAGTCCTAATGCTGGGACAATGTTACAATACAACTAGATCAGAGTTCTTCCCATGTAATTCATCATGGGCAAATTTAAATCAAAAGAAAATTAGGCAGCTAAGTATATCACTGGGCTTGTGACCGCTGTAAATCTTTGTGTCTCCATATGCAAAAGGACAGTAACTAAGTTTAAATGTGACTTCAGAAAAAGAAAGACGTTAAGTGAAAATATCTGGGAGGTTCTGTAAACAACCAAGCAGCCAGGCCTGACATACACTCAGACATTTTTTTTTGATATCATTATTTGTAAGGGGAAAAATCCTCAACCATATTTCTAATAAACAAAGTTACACCAATAGAAACCCTCATCTTGACTGTTGATCTGGCAAAGTACCCTTAGTCAGTTTAGACTATTCTGTTCAATGCAAACTATATTACCAAAGCCTCCACAAATGTAAGGTGCAGCTCTACCAGGAAGTCTGTCAGTGTAGCTCTATCGATGTGGCTTTGATAGCAAAATCTTTTAATATAGATGAGGTTAGTGAAGAGAGAACAGGTTTGATAACTATTTGAGTTAAAAGAACATTACATCAGGACTCTGAGCTTCACCTTCCAAGAATATATAAAATGATACTTAGTGACTCTAGAGTGGTTTTCAATTTACTATCATTCAATTTACTGCTATTAATCTTAGTCACTAGCACCAAGTCTTGTACTTACCTGGGTGAGCAGTAGGATATTATCCTTGTGAAACACACCCTACATAGGATTTTAGGGAAAAGACTTACATTTTAATAATGAAAAGTATTTCTTGCATAATCGAATTCAAAATTACTCCCTATGTATGTTACTATGTGCACGTTGTGTATTTTTTACCAGTCCCAATGAGGAGCTGTATTAGGTGCTGTACAAACACATCATAAAACATCAACACATTTTTTTTCCTGTACATATTGCTTTTCATTTAATTAATTAGGCTTTCATCAAACAAGCACTGAACACTGAAAAGCCCCAAGCAATTTCTTTTTAATCTCTATATGGAAGACTGTGTTTCTCAAATCTGAGTGATAAGCTACAAAAGCAAGGAACAGTGATACATAAGACTTAGACAAGAAGTGAAATATGTAAAAAACAAAAAGGAGATTTATCAAAAAAAGAGAAAGTGAGGAAAAAATAATTATTGAACCAGATATCTAACAGAAACAGATATTTCATGAATAGTAATGTTCCTTACTACTAAGAAAAAATAAATAAATGCTGTAACACAACCCAAAACCAGAAGAAAGCACTATTGGTGACTATGTAAGCACACCTATAGCCTCTCCAGGTTCAGACAACTGAATACCTAAAGGTAGCAAAAGCGAACGGTAGATAGCTCAGTGCAAGGAAACGGACAACGACCCAAAGGTAAAATGAGAATAAAATCACAATGATTCAGAAAAGCAAATTTTCTTGGGTCTTAGCAAGTCATCTGCTTCCGAGTAAAAGTAATAATTCTGTGAAATAGATGTACTTTCTTCCTAGCTCAAAGGTAATCTTTTTGTGTGGAAAGAATTTCCTTATAGAAAGTACATAGAAGGAAATGACAAAAAACAGAAGGAAGGGATGCCATTCAGGAAGGCCTAAACAAGCTTGAGTAGTGGACCCACGAGAACCTAATGAGGTTCAACAAGTTCAAGTGCAAGGTGCACTTGCACCAGGGTTGGCAATCCCAGACAGGAGTACAGACTGGGAGAAGAACTTATTGAGAGTAGCCCTGCCGAGAAGGACTTGGGGTTCTGGTGGATGAGAGGCTGAACATGAGGAATGCATGTAATGTGTCTTGCAGCCCAGAAAGCCAATTGTATCCTGGGCTGCATCAAGAGGAGTGTGATCTCACAAAGTTCCATGCTTTGTCAAGGTCAAGGTTGGCAATTCTGCCCCTCTACTCTGGTGAGACCCTGCTGGAGTCTTGGGTCCTCAGCATAAGAAAGACATGGACACAAGACAGAGCAGTTTTAGGGGAGGGTCACAAAGATGGTCAAAGGGCAGGAGCACCCCTCTTATGAGAAAAGGCTGAGAGAGCTGGGGTTGTTCAACTTGGAGTAAAAAATGATCCAAGACCTTATAGCAGCCTTCTAGTACCAAAAGGGAACTTATAAAAAAGAGGAAGAGTGACTTTTTACAGTGTCAGATAGTGATAGGACAAGGGGGAACAATTTTAAACTAAAAGAGATTTAGATTAGTTGTTAGGAAAAAAATCTATACGCAAGAGGGTAGTGAGGCACTGGAACAGGTTTGCCCAGAAGAGAGAAGTTATGAACACCTCATGCCTGGAAGTATTCCAGGCCAAGTTGGATGGGATTCTGAGCAACCTGGTCTAGTGGGTGCCACCCCTGCCCGTGACAGAAGGGTTCAAACTAGATGATCTTCAAGCTCCCTTCCAACCCAAACCATACTATGAATCTATGAGATAAAACATATCACGCCAAAGTGGTAATCTAAGAAATTTTCTGACCCTTCTATTCCTAGAATTATTTTTTTTTTCCAATTGGATTGCCTGAAATACTTTTCAGAAAGATGTATGGAAACTATCATGACTCAACTATTCAGAAAACAATGCTTTGGGGTCACAGTAATTAACATTGCTGCAATAATTAACAGCTTCTTAAACCATGCTGTATACTCAAACAGCCACTGTGCATTTCTTAATGTAATTTCAGGTTAATTATATTTATAACACAGAAACAAAATATCTCATAAACAAGTCTTGTTAGTCACATGTTTCCTGGAAAATACTTATTTCTTTCCTTGTTTTTTTTGTATCGTAACACACTGTGCTGCTGAGATTATCAGAAAGCAAAGATAAAACAAAAAGATGTTATCTGGTTTATTTAACTGTACCTGCTCATAGAAAGGATTGTGAGCAACGTAGTAATTGGAGTCAAATGATTCTTCTGTCACCAGAACTCTCTGCCTCTCACCAACCTGGAACATAGAAGATGAGAGAGATGACTCAGAAAGGAAAAATAATTAATTATGCTGAGAAGAGAACTGCAACTACAAACAAATGCTCTTAGCAGAAATAATCAAATTCTCTGAGGAAATTCTGTGTCAGCAAGAAAGTGGAACAGGAAAAGCTCTATTTTAAACTGTCTAAAACTGACAGGGTTAAAAGTCAAAATTAAGGGCTAGAACTGTGGTGCTATAATGGCTTAACATGAAAATCATGTTCAGAAATATATACCGATTTTTACTTATTAACATGATAACAAATAAAAATGGTAGATATGCACAGAGTCCATTACATCTTCATCCAACTAATGAAAAAATTGGGCAATCAATTACTCAAAAGGTATATTTTCTTTAAAGGCCACACTTGTTATTTACAATGCTAGGGCATCTCTTTATCCCTTTTTGGTGATCTCACCAAGCTGTGCTTGCAAGATCACACTGATTTCCATTACAGTGGAGCCAACACTGCATATTACAAAGACTCAAGAAGAAGAGTTTTTAACAACTCTCAGACACAGCGATATTATGTAAGGCAAAATGGTGTAAAAAGCCCTTTATTTAAAATTCCCGACTTCCAAATGCTCCAATAGAGTTTAAGGGAAGCACCAGTTTTACATTTAGTTAAATGGAAGATGCCAAGACAAATCATTTGCATTTAGGGGCCAAGTAGATATGAAACTAAATCTGAATTTCCCCACTGTTCAAAATCTCCCACATAGCACCTTTTGATTTTGTCCATTACTGAGTTGTGTAATGAAAATGTATAGCTTAATTTCTACAAACCTTGAAGACATTTAACTCACATTTTTAGTCTGAGCTCATCTCTATTTTTTTCCATCTAAATGTGCCCTGGATTATTTCCAAACTATTTGACAAATGCATTCTGCAAATGACAACTGTCTAGCAAGTTAAATTTACTCACTGCTTTTATTACTATTTTGAGACTCAAAAAGGTTTCACATTTTACTCCAAAGTTTTAATATCTATGAGTAAAGTTACATTCAAGACTCTTCCCCCTCCCTGAAAGACTTCCACCACATCCTAATGGCAGTTGTTACTTAGAAGTTTTAAGGCCTCCATCATAAGGTTGATGTGAACTAGCAAGAACTTGCAGATCAGATAATAATGTTTTGATTTTTTAAGGTACAAGCAGTAAAAGTAAAAGATAAGATTAGAAGTTTCTCTAACAGTCAATGGCAGAAAATAGAACATTAAGAAATAAGAACAGCAATATCACACCTACATTACAGTATATATATACTGTATATATGCATATATATATATACACACATGATACATATATAATTCTGCACTTGCTGAACAGAAAGACTTCATAGAATAACTCTTGCCTTCTCTTCCTTGTGCACATATCTAAATATTCCCAAAGTAAACCCTGGAGAGAAAGGGAGACAGTAAGCACCCAGCTCACTTCCCCCAAGGCAGTTAGAGTTCATTCTCAGGACTGCAAGTGTGGGGTACAGCAGAAGGGGTAAAATCCCTGACTTCCAGGCCCAGTAACAGAATGTGAATAGCAGAAAAGATGTATATATTTGCGTACTTTTAAGAGGTGTTTAAGAATTCTTTATAGCACATTTAGAATTTCCATGCATGTTTCTCTAGGAAGTCTGCAATTACATATAACAACAGATACAACATACTCAAATTTTAGTAAAAATTCGGTGTAACCAACAGTGAGGTGGTTTTTTTAAATTATTTTCAAGAAAACAGTTATTCAGTTCAAATACCCAAAGGAGTTTTGCAAAACATGTCAATAAGACACTTGAGATAACTACTCCAATAATAAGATTTCCCCTAAACTGAGAGGTTGTGTTACTTCTATAATATTTGAAACCATAGCTTTTAAAAATCACAATTCAATATCTGCTGTAGCACTAAAGTGCTAAAGTCTCAGATGTCATGCGATATTATGAAAAAGAGGAGGACAAAATAAGCAACATTCACCCTTGGGCAAACATGCTACCACTGAAAAGCACCAAGGCCAATCACCAAGTCACATCCTCACATCGCATTCATTATTTACTGATACTTAGCAAAACTGGTTCAAAGCAATACTGGGCCTGTAACTCATTTCACAATTGTCTTGTGGTTCCCTGGGTCTCTCTTATCACCACATTCTGCCCTTATTGCCGCTATGAGTCCTGCCCATGAGGTAGGCTGAGCTACATGTGTTATCTTCATACTCTCAGATGAAAGAATGGCAACCATATTATTAAAAAAAAAAATCAGAGGGAAGAAGAAAAGAACACCTGTGTTAGATCATTTGAGATAAATTGTGGTTTCTTCAGAGACACGTTGCCAGTTTTTCTCATCTTTGCTTCCATGAGCAAAAGAGGTCAGGTCTCCATGTCCCAGTGGGCTAGACTGAGCTTTTGGGCTCAGAATTTCTTGGGAATGGGAGGAAATCAGGAAGACTAAATTTTTAACATAGCATCAGAACTGTGGCATTTAAATTGAGCACCAGAAATGCAGAGGAGCCAAACAGCCTATACCAACTTACAATACACACATACAGACAGACAGGCACACAAGACTAAGATGGCACACTGCAGGGAATGCAGGTAAACCCAGTAATTGTTCACTCGATGAAGGTACTGGATTTGTAGCCTTGGCCAAGACCAAACTCACAGAAAGATACAATATTCAGCCATTTGCAGACTCTTTTGCCATAACAACAGAAAAGGAAAATTCCATTTAATGAGTTAGGCCATTGAGTATTCATGATCTACAAGACTAATTGGCTACATGCATTTGTAAGACAGAAAATGACTATCTATCCTGCATCCAAGCATAATTAAGAAGAAATGTAAGTACGCAGAATGCAGCTTTGGTATTGAAATTTGTTCAAGAAGTGTAATATGTCATCATTTCTGCAATTATTCCCCTGGGATCCCTAAGTGCCTAAGTTTCACCTCTCTCAAAATTTAAATACGCAGAAACCAGACACGATATCTAATAACAGTCATAATTATAATAACCTTTGATGATTTTTTTCAGGCATGTACCAGCAGAAGTAGTTCAGTATCTTATTTTTATTCCTATTCTTTCATCTCCTTCCACAGGTACGCACGAGTTCCAGCTCTCAGGGAACTACAATTCTGCCAAAGCATCTGGAACTTAGGAAACTCAGCCCTGACATCTCAATTTGGAAAGGTTTCCTATAGAAGCATTACTTTTTTTTCTTTATGGATGGCAGTATGAAAATTCTTATGAATGACAGCAAAAAAACTTGCCTGGCAGCCTCCCCCATCCCAAGGTGGACTGGTCATATAATTTACACAAAGAGAATTTGTTTTCACCAAAAACAGTGCAACAAGCGCTGCTGGTCGTATCACTTCCTACACTGAAACAGTTACCAGGAAGTTTGTAAATCTCAGAGTTAGTAATGAAATCACTTAGGAACTTTTATTTCATTTTCATTTATCCTACAGGAAATTCTGACATGATAATTCTTTAACTCAGTTTTTCCTTTACTGGAAGTCATGAAAAGCAGTTTTTCCAGCTGGCTGATTTTATAAAATAATTGAACAGTAAGATATTTCCAAAACCCTTATTGGCTGCAGTCAAATTAAGTTTCTTTTTTAAACCAAAACTGACTGAATCACCTAAAACACAAGACTGGTTTTTAAACTCTGCAATAGTTTGGTTGTAAAGGACTGTCCCTTTTTTACATGCTTTGACAGAATATTGCTACATAATGTCAACAGTGGCCTGCTGTGATTTACTTAGATAATTTATACCTCTAATTTTTTTTTTACTTAATGAAAACTATGATTGCACCAGTTTTGATTTATTGCTTATTACAGCCAGAGCATGCAGCACACGATCTTTCTCATTGTTTTCTTCTCATTCTTTTATCTGAATTTTGTTAGCTTTGTTTGTAAGAGCCTCTGTTGGGCTAAAAAAAAAATAAATTAATAATCACTGTCTTTCTATATTTCTCCCATAGAAGACAACACGCTGCACATGTAGCATCACCACTGATTTAGAGACAGTTGCTAAAGCCTCCTTCAGGTTGAATTCAATTCATAGTCGAACTGATGAGCATCTCTCAATTCATGTTGAAGGAGGCTGGCTTGGATTCTGACCCCAATCATTATGGAACATACTTAGTACAAAGCTTGGAAGCCACATAAAAAGTTGCTTTCCTGTATTTGTTATTTAAATACATCATAAAGCAGGCAATAAAAAATACAGACTGTCACAATTCAAGTGAGTATATTTTAGTAGATTATTCTGATGTACAGAATATTTCTGGTAAACATGCATACTTTGACCTTTACTAAGTATAGTAAAGTTTAAGCAAAAGTAATTTAGAAAGTGTTCATTCTACATCAGTTTTGGTGTACTTCTCTCCTGATTTTTCAGTTGCAGTCTAATTATTTTAAATATATTTTAATAATTATGCAGATGATGTATTCTTCCCCATAGAGCAGGCAAGAACTGCAGGACCTACTTTTTATGAATCAAGTGAATCCTTCTGTAAATAGAAGCCAAATTTCTTGAAAATTATAATTAAGCATTCTCTAAGTCTTTTATTTATACATTGTAGGTATTTTCTCCTCCCGACAGAGAAGTCTAAGTGCGCCACAACCTCCCTGAAAAAAGATGTTCATAGAAACTTACAAAACGGTCCCATTTTGATGTCACCAGAACACATCCCTTTTCAAACTCTCCTTTGTACTGCTTTGTTCAGCTATGCAGCACTGCTCCTCCAAATTTAGGGTGTATACATACATCCCTTTCTGAAGGTAGTACGGGAGAATGGACTTGTCTCAGAGCTTTTCTACAAAGTTGTTAGGGTTTTAAATGTGGAGACTGAAAAACAGTAATATTAAAATAGTTCAGCTCCTGAGCATGACAATTTTTATGCCAGGATAAAAATACTTTTCAGCATACAGCATAGACAGCTGCCACTTCACTACGGCTTATGCTACAACTGCTGTCCAATTCCA